GTCAGCTTTCTGCAAGAAGCCTTGAGTGGCCTTGCTCTTCTGCTCAGCTGGGCCTGGCCTGACTTTCCTTCGGCTGTCCCCCCATTTCATCCCCCCTCCCCATTGCCATCAATGCGCTCCTGGGATGGCTCCAATTCCCACCAGCCCAGCATGTGATGACTCTGCAAATAATTAAAAACCAGATTCCCACCATGAGTTCCCAGCTACACTAACGTTTTACGTCCAGGTGCCTCGGGGTTTTAATTGAATGTCAAACATAATTTGAGGAAGGTAACGGAGAGTTCAAGCTGCTGCCCTTCGAAGACAATCCAGCAATTGCAAATTATCGCTGTGCTCGAGCAGTCGCCGGCTGGCGGGGTTCTCCCCCGCAATGCACCATCCCTGTGCAGCTCCCCTCGGGGGGGGGGGAGGCAAGGGGGTGCGTTGGAGGACAGTCTGAAGCAGGGGGCAGAGCCAAAGCGAGGGGCAGCGGCACCCCGCGGAAACAGGCTGTGTGTCCGGTCAAGCCTTGGGCTTCAGGAGACCTCCCCTCTCTTCCAGATTTCTCTCCCCCCCACCCCCAACTTTTCTGTCAGGCAAGCCAACCAAGCTCCTTCTTCCCTCTGCACTTTTTCCTCACAACAGCCCTGCAAGGTACGGGAGGCTGGAAGAAAACAAACGGTCCAAGATCAGACACTGAGCTTTAATGCCACATCCAATGGTTTTCTCTGTCAAGGAAATTCTGCGTGGCCATCGGCAACAATTGAAACAGTCAAGACATTCTTTTAAAATAACAGGAAAATGAAAAAATACCAAGATGTATTCCAATACTTTTCTGAGCTGAGCTTGGGAAGGGGGTGATTATGGGTGGAAGCCAATGAGTTTCTGGAAAAGGGCATCAAAATGAAACAAGCAAGCAAATGTGGGGTGCCTCGGGCACCCCCAGGAGAAACGTGCGTGTGGAAGGTCATCAGAAAGAGGGAGCCCATGGTCAGCAGGCCTGGCAGGGTAGCATGGTTAGTGCCAGTGCCGGAAGAGGTGGCTCCACGTGGGGGCAGGTGGAGGAAGACTGGGTCACAGCGGCAGGAGGGAGGCCGCCAGCTCACTGTTCCAAAGACGGCCGCTGGCCCTGCGAGGAAAGGCCCGCTTCCCGTGCCGCTCCTGCTACCCTCTAACAAGCAAATGGCCTCATTCCTCTGGTTAATAGTCTGGTCGGGCTGAATTGCAGCTCTTTTATATTCTGGCTTGGAATAACAGGTACCTGGGCTGTCACAGTCAAGGGTAATTTGCCACGGGAAAGGGGGTCATTTTCCTCGTAAATTGTTTTCTCCGCCTGCGCCAAGGCAGAGCGACAAGGGTTGTGCGCGCCTCGGTTCCTCAGAAGCGCCAAGGGGAAGGCCGGCTGGGGGACCTCGGAGAGCCGCCACTGGAGCGGCAGAATCCTTAAGCGAGAGCAGCTTCTCTGCTGGAGGACCGGGAGGACTGCAGAGGAGGGACCAAGGCCAGGCCCTGGAATCACAGTGGTTTGAGCCTGAGTTGCCCAAATCAAGGAATCCCACATTACGCTGAATGAGTTCAGACCTCCAAGACCCCATGAGCTCCATCCCAGAGTCGTAAAGGAGCTGGCAGAAGAACTCTCAGAACCACTGTCTGGAGGACGGGGACGTGCCAAGTGGCTATTGCTGTCCCCATCTCCGAAAAGGGGAGAAAGGAGGAAGCTGGGAACGGCAGGCCCGTCAGTCCGACATCACTCCCTGGGACAATTCTGGAGCAGATTATAAAGCAGGCAGTCTGCAGTTACCTTGAGAACTATGCAGTGGTCGATAGAAGCCCGCGTGGATTCCTCAAGAACAAATCCTGCCAGACAAAGCTTTTGTTTGATTGAGTAACCTCCCAAATGGACTGTGGGAATGTTGGGGACATAATCTATCTCAACTTCAGCAAAGCTTTTGAGAAAAGTGCTCTGTGATTTCCTGATTTGCAAGCTAGCCAAAAGTGGGCTGGATGGAACAACTATCAGGCGGATCCACAGTTGGCTACAGAATCAGACTCAAAGAATGCTCATCAGTGGCACCTTCTCCAGCTGGGGAGGGGCATTGTGTGGGGCAGCACAGGGTTCAGTCCTGGGCCCAATGCTCTTCAGCATTTTCATTAATGATTTGGATGAGGAAGAGCATGGCAAGCTTATCAGATTTGCAGATTACTGAAAATTTGGTGAGAAAACAAAATTCAAAGTCAGCTCTGGGATGAAAACAGCAGAATGCAATTCAACAGGGACAAAGGCCAAGTTCTGCGCCTTGGAAAGAGTCAAATGCACAGTTACAAGAAGGGGGATCCTTGTCTCAGGTACAAGCAAGAAGGATCTGCAAGTCAACAATGTGATGTGGCTGCAAATAAAGCAAACCTCTATTAGGCAGCATTAAGAGAGGCAGCACTTCCACATCCGGTGACGTCCTAGTCCCCCTCCACTCAGCACTGGCCAGGCCTCATCTGGAGTCCTGCATCCAGTTCTGGGTACCACTAGAAAGCCGGGAAATGTTCAGAGGAGGGCAACAAGGATGATCTGGGGACTGAAAGCCCTTTGAGGAGAGACTGAAAGAACTGGGCATGTTCGACCTCAATAAGAAAAGACTGAGAGGAGATACGATAGCACTCCACAAGTAATTGTAGGGCTGCCACAAAGAGGGAGGCCAGGATCTCTTGTCAAGCATTGCGGGGTGTGGCACACAGTGTAACAGGCCCAAGTTACAGAAAGCCAGATTCTGGCTGAGCATCAGGAGGAACTTTCTGGCTGTTAGAACAATTACAACCATGGAACCAATGGGTGGTTTTCAGCTCCCTCACACTCAGGATGCATCGGGACAGCTCTCTGTTAAGCAGGGCTTTGGACCCAATGGCCTTACTTGGCTCTTTCCAACTCTACCATTCTATGATTCTATTATTGTGGAAGTAATCCAATGAAAGACAGCCCATCACCTCCTACAGCAGTCAGTTCCATTGGCAATCAGCCCACATCATTACAATATTTCTGCAAATGTTTAGCTGAATATAATTCCCTATTTTTCTATCCACAGATTCAAGCTCTGCACACTGCAATAACAGGGAAGAGGCCTGCTCCATCTTCCATGTGCTGCCTCTCCCAGTATTTGAAGCCCACTTCTGCAAGAATCCTTGCTTCCTCTTTCGCAGCACTAGAACTTAGAACGGGTGGCATGTTGGTGGTGTGTCAAGGACATGGGTAATCCTTCCCGGAATGCGTACTTATCCTATGGAACTCTCCACCACAAGATGTGGTGACATTATAGCTACTAGAACGTATGGCTCCCAAGGGTGGGGGTGGCATACAAGGAAGGAGTTGGTGAGACAGCAGCACACATGGTCGGTCACGGACTTAAAACATTCCTTTTTTCTGCAGTCTGCATGACTGTCCGTGTACATTTTCATGCGCAGAACTTCTGGTGGACACATTAAGTCACTTGATCTAATCATTTTGGTAAGCAGTTTCCCCAAATATTTGAAGAACTGCATTCCATCAAAATCTGGAGAGGCACAAACATCAAAGGGAAACTCCGTCAGAGCCACGTTTCTGCCCTGGAGGTGCAAACCAAACAGTCACACTCCCTGCCTGGAACAACCTCTTCTCTCTCACAAGCACAGCAGAGCTCCTGAATCTTGACTCGGGGTTGCGAGCTGAGTAACCCCTCCCAGCTGCACCAGTCTCACCAGCACGTCTTGCCAAGCGTCCTTATTTTACATGCAAGTCTCTGAACATATGCAAAGCGCAATGTTGAACCCCCTCTGGCCTCCTTCAACCAAATCTTTCTGGGGAAAGGAGCACAGTAGAACTGGGCACACCTGTGCTCCTCTGTCTGGGACCCCAGCTGGGTCACCCTCCTACTACGACGACAGACTACCAGGTCCACCTCCGCAGGAGGCTGGAGTTCCCCACCCGAGAGACTCTCGTCTCCTAAGCCCCCCTCTCAGGAAGTTGTTGCTCTTCTCCGCTCCACAGGCGGGTTGAGTGGGCCCCTCGGCTGCCACTGAGCTACTCCCTTCCCCAGCAGGCACAGGCGGGCACCCAGGGCCTTGGGCTGCAGCTGGAGCCGACTCCGTTTCAGCAGCCACCTCCCTGTTAGAGCCTGACCTGCCAGCCCTGCCGGATCGGCCGACTCTTCCTCATACGGCTCATTCTCAGAATCTGAGTGGTCAGCCCAGCCAGCACAGCCGGCTCCTAGGGCGTGCCTGGGGATGCGCACGCACGACGCTCAGGAAACAAGGCGAGGGCTCCTCTCTGCGTGGCCTCAGCAAGGCCGAGAACACGTATTGTTCTTCTAAGTGGGCACCTGACCTCTCAAAAAAGGACGTGCTCAGCTGAGGTCAGATAGCGCTGCAGTGTTCCGGGCTGCCAGGTGATGCACACAGGGGAGGGGGCGCGCTTTGCCAGGGGCAGCTTCCAGCACAAACGTGGCCCTGTCCCATCTTGGGAAAGCCCCGGTTCTGTTCCACAACAAGCTGTTTCAAACCGAATTGAACAGGCAACGTTCGGACACATGGCAAAAGCCTGAGCCCAAAGCAAGCCCATCCTTCAAAGCGACGCTTTTTGGACAGATGATTGTGAAAACACAAAAGGACACGAACAAATGACAAGAACGGTGGTCATGGTCTGTGAGGAACAGAATAATCCACACTCTGCAGTTGGGCTGGTCAACCAGATTTTCACAACAACATGCAAGCTTTCACGTTCTCCAGAACTCTTGGACAGGTTAGGCAGCACCAAAAGCAGGGCACGGGGAGGCGAAAGAGACCGGTCCGATGGCCGGGCCAGGGATTGTGGCCAGGAAAGCTGCAGTTTAGAGAGACTCGATCTCAAACTGGAGAGCTGAATAGATGCTACATGGATTGCAGGTGTTCCCGTTATCAGCTTACACCTTGTAGTGGATTTGGGAATAAATGAGCAAGAGCTATGAAAACATTGTTCCCGGGGAGAGTCAACCATCTGCCACACGTCCACAGCCACTTACCATATTTAATCTCGGAAGAGTATACATCATTCGCATTCCCAGAATGCAATTCGGTCACACAGCAATCGCGGCTGCTGCTGCTGGTGGCGGGCGGCGTCAGGGCATTGGAGAGCGTCTGGTTGGACAGCGGGGGGGCCGGCAGGGCTTGCAGCACCTGGCAGGTGCAGCCGGCCTGCGAGAGGCCACAGGGCTGGCCGGTGCCGAGACGAAGGCACTCCTCCTGCCAACGGCACAGGACGCTGCAGGTGAACTGGCTGGAGTTGTTGTTGTTGATTAGCAGCACCTCCACAAAGCGGAACTCCACGGCCTCAGGCGGCAGCAGCCGGCTGGCGGCCTCGGGCTCCTCTGCCAGGCACAGCTGCACAAAGTTCTTGTCGAAGTGGAAAAAGGTGAAGGGGCCCCTGCCTTGGCAAAGCTCCAGACGGTCTTCGCCTCCATCGGCCTCCTCCTGGGGCTGGGCTGTGGCTTCCGCCTGGCTGCAGGTGTCGTTGGAGAGGTAGTGGTCCAGGGGCAGAACCATGGGCGAGTAGTGGGTGCAGACCTGCTCCTCCCGGTTGAACTTGAGGTACAGCGAGTACTTGGTTGGGTCGGGGTTCTCCAGGGTCCACGAGCAGCCGGTGGAGACTGTGGGGAAGAGGTCCTTCAGCGAGAAGGAGCCGTAGAGAACCCCGGAGGCCAAGGCGGAGCAGGCACTGGGAGCCGGGTCAAAGCACCGGGAGAGCCACAAAAGACACGCTATCACAGCCAGTAAGAATGGTCCAGCAGGGTTCATCCTATGACATTTGCCCTTCAAGGAGACAAAGAGAAAGGGGAGGTTATGCACAGGCCTCCGAGCAGAGCCTCCCAGGAGCTGGTTTGCACTGCTGCGGCTCAGCCCTGGAGCACATCAGACAGTCCCACAAGATCTGGGTCCCCCTTGCCCATGGGCATCCGAACATCTGGATTTACTTCCTTATACATTTGATACGTTTCTGCATTAAATGGCCCCATGACCTCTTGCAGAGCCAGAGCTGATTAAAGCGAGCAGCAGCCAAAAGCAGAAAAGCTGTCGACGCACCTTTCCTGACTGCAGAATCCTTGCAAGCAGCGCTCTGCCCCCTCCCCCCCCAGAAAAGGCACCTGAGGCACAGGCCTTGACTCAGAGGCAGACGTGACTCCCCCCTCCAGCTCTCCAATGAACACCACTATCAGGAGGGAAGAAAAGGGGAGAGGCCAGGATGCCCCTCCTATCGCTGGGCCACGCCGGCCTCTCTCTTCTCCATGCTGGTTCCAAAGAAAACTCCAGCTAGACCTGAAGCGAGGCAAAAGTGTCAGCATCCTTCCTTCCAGTCATCATCCCCAAGAAAGTACCTGCTACACACGTGCAGAGTGAATTTCCCTCACTCGCTTACTCACTCACTCTCAAGTAACAGCAGCCAACCAGATCGTAGGGATAGAAAACATAGAAGCAGAGCGAGTCAGAAGGGGTCTCCTGGGCCATCTAGTCTGACGGCCGGCTCCACTCATGACATGCCCACCATGTGCACAGACGAACGATGGTGAAGGTCACCGGATTCTGCCAAGAGCACCTTGCGGCTCAGCACACAGTGTTCGCACTTGCAGGAAATGACCCTCAGGTCTGTCCATGCTTCCCAGTCTGCACGGCTTTCCTCCACAGGGCAGGCTCACACAACCAGCCAAGCTGCAGTGCCTTCCTGCCCTGGCTGGTCCGCCACGCTGTCCAAACCCTGTTGGGGATTTCAGCACAGTTCTCCTGGTTCTTAGAAACCATGACAGGAAGCCACAGTCTGCTCTGTGGCTTCCATGCTTCAGCATGGTGTCTCTGGTCACCCAGAACCAGCCCTGTGGCTTCCACAGTGCTTCCGTGGAGTCCCCAGAAAAGGCAGCCGCTGCCATGGGAGCTGTTCCCACCATCCCGGGTGGGATTGAATTTCAGACATGGTGGCGAGTGGAATGTGTGCCAACGGTGGGAGGACCGAGCAAGGAGGGTGGAAACCACTCTAGTGAACAAACGGCTTAATCCTTTGTCAGGCGCATCCAGGCAAAAGACCATGGAAACCAGGCAGGGTGGTCTGTCATGATGTGCGAACCGCCATGGACTGGAGGGGAGCTGATTTAGTCCGTGAGTAAAATATGCACAAGCAGGACATGAGTGCATGTTTAGCCATTTATGAACATTTTAGAACATTGTATTAAATTAGAATAAAATTCTTTAGAACATTTTCAGCAGTCACATGTTGCAGTTGGCATGTTTCACGAGCAAAAACAAGCTTTTCAGACATCCCCACTTCTCCCTGCCCCCTCTGAGAGACATGCACCATCCTTGGGCAGCGCACTTCAGGCACCCCAAAGACTTGCCTTATAAATTTGATACGTTTCTGCATTAACCCCTTCTGACTCGCTCTGTTTCTATGTTTCTGTCCAAACAGCTGCCCATGGGAACTCGTGTGCAGTTCCCAGCACCTGGGGAATTTTTAAAGGATCAAAGGTGGGGAAGTCTGAGACGGACAAGTTTGTTTATCTAGAGTGCAAAGCCCTGCACATTGCGCATGGGGGCCTGTCTTGAGCAGCGCCAGCCGGAGCCAGGGAGTTAGACTAGAGGGCCCGGAGGACCCCTTCTGACTTGCTCCATTTCTATGTCTGTAACCATGTTAGTGCTTAATTTGCCACCTCTTTCTTCCAACAAGATCTTCACCTTCAACAGCTACAGCAAGGCAGGTGAATGGTGATCTGCTCCAAGTGAAAAACAGCCACCTGTTGAATTTGGCTGGGGCGGAGGGGTACAGGTACCATTTCAAGTCATTCCCAGAAGGCTTTGTCAAAAGTCGCAAAGCTCTTCAGAAGTAGGAGAGAAAGAACTTGAGCTGTTAAAAACGCAAATGCAAGAGGGAGCAAAAAAGAGATTCACCCATCCCGGCCTTCTGAAGAGGTACCGCCCAAGGGCAGTGGCAGCAGGGGTAGTCTCTATTTCTTTTTGAACAACGGACTGGTTGTAAACCTAATTAACATAGGTGGTCATAAAGGTATCCCAATTGAATTTGTCACTGCTACCTGCATGGGTGTTACCGTGGAGCCGCTGCCCAATTCTCTACCGCTTGGGCTTTAAACCCAGAGTCTGAAGAGCTCTGTGTGATACAGCAGCTTGCAAAGTTGCAAGACCACCTTGCAGAGCATCCATTTGCCCAAGTCCATGCTCCAAAATGGCAACGTGGCTTCTAAGACTCGGCTCTCAGCCAAAAGGCTTGGGGAGCACCTTCCCTTTTATCTCAATAATACGCCGTCCGTGTGTCCACATGCCTCTCAGAAGCCAGAATTCCCTCTCCCACCCAGCCCAATGCAGCATTTTCTTTTTAATCTACCAAGCCATTAAGTGCAAACAAGCTGGCCATGGGTAAGCGATGTTTATAGGGTCATAAAGAGCCAGATCTCGGCCTCGTAAAACCTGTAGGGTGCAGAGTTAGGAAGCTGGGAGATTTTCCAACTTTAAAGGGAATGGAAACCCAGCAGAATTTCCAGCTGCTTTTGAGACAAAATGGTTGTTGAAAAAGCCCAAGCGATCCATTTCTAATTCCTAGACACCAGGAAGTTAGGCAGACGCACAAGGGAGTTTTGTGTGCTTGGAAGCTGTAAAAACCCATAAGCAATTATGTCTTTGGTTTAACTGCTCAGTGTTGCCATGATTCTGTGGATGGTCCAACTGACCGTCTAGGGGTCCATTAGATCCCAGCACCTCCGATTTCAAAGAGATTCAAGACCCCTTCCAGTGCTCATGACGTTGAGCTTTCTGCAAATGGAACGATGAAGGTGGGTGTTCTGGAGACAGTGCACAGGTGTGCAGATACGTAGCTGGGGAAGTTTCACTGCGAGCCGAGAAAGGATAGGCAACGGGCAGCAATGATGTATCTTTCGTAGCATCACAGAATCACAGACCAGTTGAGTTGGAGGGCACTGTAAGGCCACTGGGTCCAACCACTGCTCAGTGCAGGACTCCAAGTTAAGCCACCTCTGACAGGGCAGCCCAGCTGCCTCTCGAATGCCTCGTGTGGGAGACCCCACCACCTCCCTGGGTTATGGGTCCCATTGCCACACAGTCAGAGAGTTCCTCCTCGTGTCCAGCTGGAATCTGGTTTCCTATAACTTGAGCCCATTATTCTGTGTCCTGCACTCTGGGATAATCCAGAGGAGACCCTGGCCTTCCCCTTGTGACAGCCTTTCAAGGATTTTGCTCTCCCATCTCCCTCCATCTTCTCTTCTCAAGGCTAAACATGCCCAATTCTTTCAGTTTGTCCTCATGGGAGGAGGAGCTTTGTTTCCAATCCCCTGAGCATCTTTGTTGTCCTTCTCTTAACTTTTTCCGGGCTGTCTGCATCTTTCTTGAAGTGTGGTGCCCAGAACAGGACACAGTACTCAAGATGGAGTCTACCTAATGCCGAATTGAGGGGGACCAGGACCTCACCAGATTTGGAAGCTGTACTTCTGTTAATGCAGCTCAAAATAGTCTTTGCTTTATTTGCAGCCACATCACATGGTTGGCTAACATTCAATCTGCAATGGAAAACAATTCTTTTTGTTTACAGTCTCGTTGAGGCGTGTATCTCCAGGTATCTTCTTCTTGCAAGATATGGAGAGGGGGCAAATGTGTATAGGCAGAAGTTTGCCAATACTAGAACTCGACTAAAGCTCTCTGCACAGAATCCTATGGCACCAGGGGTTCCCTAGAATGCGCAGTGGGGATCAGGAATCTGTTTGAGTATTGATGCTATGGAGCTTCATCTTAAGCTCAACGTGTACATGTCTGTAAATAAACATTCTATTAAAGAAAATTGCAGAGAGGAATATCCCAAACACTCCCAGTAGGAATATTGGGGAAGGAGGCTAAGAAGGGACTGGACATTTATTTATTTTCCAATTTATATCCTGCCTTTTTCCTACAAAGGGCTCAAGGCAGCTTACATCTCCTCCTCCATCTTATCCCCACAACAACAACCCTGTGAGGTAGGTTGGGCTGAGAGTCTGTGACTGGCCCAAAGTCACCCAGTTGGCTCCATGGCCGAGCGGGGACTCGAACCCAGATAGTCTGTGTCCCAGTCCCAGGCTCTTCACCACTACATCACACTGGCTCTCAAACTTTTAAAATTCCGAGACACAATACAGAGTTTTGAAGCTTATCAGCCTGAAATTCTCATTCACACATGCAACGGTTTAATGGGTTGCTGCAGTCAACCAGTAACAATCCTGCACTGCACAGGCAAGAAATGCAGAAGGGGAAAGTGTGGGGAGAAGGCAGCCCCCTTTGGAAGGAGCAGGAGAGAGGCAGGCCTGCGGAAACCCTAGAAATGCACAGACCTGGCAGGCATGATTCTTCGACCAAAAGGATTGCTGGCCCAGCTCAAAAGCCTGGCTGAGCTGACACACGCGCGCACGCCGCTAGCTCGAAGTGAATTACGGCGCTCACTGATTCACTTTCTCCTCAAAGCCCTGCTCGCAGTCCTGTGCATGAGAGGGAGAAAGCCCTTGGCCAGGGCTTCTGAAGGAGAGGCAAGATGAGGCGAGGCAAGGCGAGGCGTGCCATCAGGGCAGGAGCCTTGCCTGCCTCCTGGGCTGTGGGTGATGAAACTAACTGATGTGCATGGGAGTATGGAGGCTGGTCCTTGGATCAAGGGCCGCACCTGGGAAAGAGGAAGGCTGCTCCATGGGAGAGCCCCTGCTTCACATGCCTTGCATGCTTGATCTCCTGGCACAGCCAGGAAGACTCCTGCCCGGACTTGGAGAACCGATGCT